AAATAAAAATTTAAAAAAATAAAAATAAATGGAGCTTTAAGCTGGGCATAGTGGTCCAATCCTATAATCCCAGTACTCTGGGAAGCAGAGGCAAGAGAATTGCAAGTTCTGGCAACTTAGCAAGGCCCTGTCATAAAACAGGAAAAGGAGGGATGGGAGGGCAATCTGGGTGCAACATCTGTCACCTCATTGATCACCAGGGTTAATTCAGCTGATCTAACTGGCTAGGCAGGTGTCCCCTTTCCCCGTCACGGCTCCGTGTGTGTCCCTTCCGAAGCTGTGTGCCTGGTGGAAGAGGACGACCACCCTCGATAGAGGAGGACCATTTCCACGGTGAAGGGCATATGAGTGGCCATGCTCCCCTGCTAGAGCCTCCAAGTAGGCTCTCAAAATAGGAAAAGGGATAGGGATGTAGCTCAGTTCAAACGCCCTGGGTTCAATCCCAAGTACCCCAAAGAAAAAAAAAGAAACTACTTGCTTAAATTTTTTCTCTTCACCTTAATTAAACTCTTCCATTTAATTCAACTAAAAACAATAATATTATCATACAAACTGAGTATAATTGTTTTTAATCAAATTCAAATAAATTAATTTTTATATGCCAACTCCTGTTAGGAGACAAGAAATCTGCTAGAAACATAGGCCCCTGATTCAGTGCTGAAGGTATATTCTGATGTTCTCTTTCTCCTCTTTGACATTCTCCTATGCTGTCTTAAAAGACCATAAAAAAAGTTAGACAAAGCAAATGGATGTGAACATTGTGGTTAAAAAGACATTGCTTCCTCTTTCTAGTAAGACAGCAAAGAGAGCAGAGTCACGGAGCACAGTGTATTGGAGTAAGGAAAGCAGCCAGTTAGTACAAAGATAAAGCATGGATGTGGGTGTACATCTGGGCCTACAAGTAAGGATGTAGTTAAGGACATTGGGTTTTTATTATAAGGCTGAGACCCTGTGTTTCAGTAGCTTAAGGTACAAGGAATGATATTCTGACTCTCCGATTTGTTGTGCTTACAGTCTCCAGTGATTTTCAGGCCAGTTACTAGGACCAAGACCAGAATTCTTGTTTTAAACTTAAGTATTTTACTCAGTGTGGGATTTTGTTCATTTAAATATTTTCAGTGTTGTCCTTACTCAGTACATCTCCAGCAGGGGCACCCACTTGAGCAAGTCTTTACTGTCTTTTGCTTTTTTAAAATTACTTGCCATTTTCTTGATATGATGGTTTCTTGGACTTTATCATATTTATGTTAATTTTTTAAGTCTTATTACTTAGATTATTTACTAAACCTACCTTCTCATTCCTAGGTAAATCAGTAATGTTGTACGCAGCAGAAATGATACCTAAATTGAAAACAAGAACACAGAAAACAGGAGGTGGTGACCCAAACCTTCAGCAAGGAGAGGGAAGTAAAAAAGGGAAAGGAAAGAAGAAGAAGTGATCTGCTGTGAGCATCAAGTATGTGATCCTACTGTGAGGGACATGATGGAGGCTTCTTTTTAGCTGCGGGGAAACAGCTTTTCGTTTGCATCAATCATGTGAACTATGAACATTTGTGCCTTCCATCTTCATCATCGGAGTTAACAATGAAATGAATACATCAGAAGTACAACACATTGAAAATGTACATCTAGCTGTTATGCAGTATAAAAGAAAAAATTTTCTGTCTTTGAAGAGTTTTTGTGGAAGAATAAATATTTTTAAATGGACAATGGACTATTGCGGAAGTTAACAGAAATCTGTATCTGTCCTCTGTGTAAGCATGTATTTCAGATAAATAAGTTTAATAACTTGAAATACACATTTTGTTCACCTTTTAAGTTAAATAAATTTTTAAACTTATTTTAAACTTTGTTGCTTTTGCTTATGAGATAAGTAATACCAGGAGAGGAAGTTATTAATGAGAATAAAAGAGCTTGTGTATACTTGGACAGTGTGAGCCTGAAACAAAAGTGGTAAATCCTCTTGTAGGAAAGTCAGTACGTGGTTACTGTAGATCATGTTCTTTTAATCTGTTACTGTAATCAGATTGTTCCATTGCTAATTTATCAGATGGAAAGTTCTGGATTTTAAACTTTGTGTATATTTTATAGGTCTAAGAACATGGTTTCCCGCTTGCCTAATAGGAAATTTTGATTCTCCCCTCAGTAAATCCAAAACATTGTTTCCATTAGAGTTCTAAAAATTACTTTTTTCTTGCACCTTGAAAAGTGTACTTTGAAGAAACAAAATTGAAGAAGTCCTGGTTTTGCTTCAAAGCACTTCCTGAAAGTGATGGTTTTGAACTATCCTGAGTTTTGTTCTTCGTTAGGTCTGGTTTAGCTTATTCCTGCTCTTCCTGAGGACTGGTTTACCTCTTTCTTGAATTCTGTGAGCTGCCTCATTTTATTTCAATAAATCCCATCTTTTTGTAAACTTTTATCACTTCGTATCTAATAATCCTAATTGATTCCAAAATAAACCCAGAGTTGTGTAGCTTTAAGGGGATTATACCCGCAGGTGATGTGAAGATAATTCATTGGTGTGCAGAAAGAGTGAAAATCTAGTCAAGAGTGGTAGCACATTGTAAGGTCTTAGCTACTTGGGAGTCGGAGGATCACTTGAGCCCAGGAGTTCAATACCATACTGGACAAATATTGAGACCCTGCCTCTATAAAAGAAAGAAAATTTCTACGTTTTTTTTTCCCCCACTCTTAAAAATTTTTGTTGAATGTTTTATAGTGAATATTATTAACAGTTCATATATTTGACATATAAATATATTGGATGGGGGAGAGGAGAGTATGTGTGTAAAACATGACTCAGGAAAAGAAAAACCAAAAGATTTCTCAGAATCCTTCCCAGAAGACTCTGACGTAAGTCTCTGTTTGAGAGCTTCAGCACAAGTTCCCATCTAGCTGCAAGGGAGCCTCGGAAAGAGAACCTAGTGTTTTTTCAATCCTGACAGAGACATCTAAGGAAGAGTATTTGAGAATGCATCCCAGGGCAGCAAACTTGAAAGATGGTCACAGAATGATAACTAGATGGCCAGGCATGATGACCCATGCCTGTGATCCTAGCCCTTGGGAAGCTGAGGCAGGAGGATCACCATGAGTTCAAGGCCAGCCTGAACCATATAGTGAGGCCCTATCTCAAAAAAAACAGGTTTCAGAACTATTGCTATAGCAGTATATTGCTGTGCAGCACATCATTGCAATCAGTGCCTAATGGAACTTCTGTTTGCCAATAGATAAGTGAAAATCTTGTTCAGTGAGCAAAATTGAGCATTTGTTCATGTGCTGAAATGCTATTTGTATTCATTTCAGGAAAGTGTTCATGACCTTTGTCCTCTTTACAATTTTGTTATCAAAGTTGTACATAATTTGAACAACCAGCTAGTTTTGTTTCAGTTTTAGGCATTAATTTCTACCTATAGAAGAGGAGGATTTAGTTTTCCTCTTTCCATTTTCCCCCGCCACATCCACATATTCGTCCCACTTTCCCATCCTACTGATATATTTCATAATTTTAATCACACCATAATTTATATTACCATATTCTATTTCATAGCTGACATGGGTAGTACCTTTGGTACTCAAAAGTATGGTCAAGAGGGGATGTAGCTCAGGGGCACCATGCCTGCTTGGCAAGCATAAGGTCCTGAGTTTAGTACTTGGTACCAAAAGCCAAAAGTATGTTCAAGAGCTGGGGATGTAGCTCAGTGGTACAGTATTTCCCTCGAATGTGTATGGCCTAGAGTTTGATCCCCATTATTACCCAAAAAAAGTATGGTTTTGGATCCAGCAGCACCAGCCTCCCCTGGGAACTTGTGAAGAATTGCAGCCAGTCTTGCAGATACACACCTGTAATCCTAGCACTCAGAGGCTGAGGCAGGAGGATCACCTTGAGTTTGAGGCCAGACTGGGCCATATAGTGAGTTCAAGGCAAGTTTGAACTACATAGTGAGACCCTGTCTTACATTTTAAAATAATGATACAATTTCTCTGCTCTAACCTAGGATTCAAATGCATTTAATGGGATTCCCCGGTAATTCTTTTTTTTTTTTTTTTGGTACTGGGGATTGAACTCAGGACCTTGCGCTTATGAGGCAGGCGCTGAAACCACTGAGCCAAATCCCTGGCCCTCAGTGATTCTTAAGACACATTAATGTTTGCGAAATACTGAAGTATGTTTTTAATTTCCTAGACTTCTTGTTTTGAACTAATTTTTTTTATTTGCTTAGTGTTTAAAATAGCACTAATTCTGCCACAAATTACTTGTCGAATGTGTCAAAGTGTCCTTTTTTGTTTGTTCCTAGACCTTGCATGTCTGAAAATGTCACCCTTCTACCCTTCCACTGGCTAAGTGTAGGGTTAACCGAAGGGAATCTCACTACCTAAGAAGTTCAGTGATAGCTTCATGGTCTCTGTCACCGCCACCCTGGTACTGGGGATTTGGGGCCTTCCAACTGAGTTATATCCCCACCCTTTTTATTTTTTATTTGAGGCAGGGTCTCACTAAGTTGCCCAGGCTGGGCTTGAACTTGGGATCCTTCTGCCTCAGCCCCCCAGGCTGTTGGGATTACAGGCCTGCACCACCACACCCAGCTATTTAGGTCTCTCTGTCCACCAGGCTAGACACCTAGTGTGCCCTTTCAATTCTTTTCTTCAGTTTGGGGAAATTTTCTTGAAAATTTCACTGATGATGTTTCTCCTCTTTCTCACTTTTTTTTTTTTTTTTGGAACTCATTTAAATATTAGACCTGCTGGACTAGTCTCAGTTTTTCTTCTTTCCACTTCCAATTTTTTGCCTTTAAATTCTACCTAGATTTTTTTCGACTTTGTCTTCCAACTTTTCCCTTGAATTTTTATTTTTTCAATTTTTCTAAGCTTGCTTATCACCTGCAAGTTTCCCTTTTCTAGCAGTCTACTCTTATTTCATGGATACATTTCTCAGAAGACATGATTTATAGTCATTGTTTCCAAATTCCTTTTTATCTGTTTTTAGTTTTATCCCTGTCACATGGAGTGGCTTTTCCTAGATTACTGACACAGTATTCTTTAGAAGTGAAAGACTAAGTAGTGAAGTTGTTCCGAGTACACGTGAAGGGTCTGGTACCTGTGGGCTTCCCCGAAGGGCTGCCTTGCCGACACAGCTTGGGAGAATTTCCAGCACCAGAGGGGCTTGGCCTCCCAGAGAGACGCACAGCATTCCCAGGGATCAAGGAGACTCCTCAGGATGCAGGGAGCCCAGTGAAGCCCAGGTTCTCCCTCTCCCTCCCCCGTCCCCTCCCTCTCAGCTACATCCCCAGCCCCCTTATATTTTATTTTGAGGCAGGGTCTCACTAAATTACTTATTTGCCCCAGCTCCACTTGAACCTTCGATCTTCATGCTTCAGTTTCCCAGAGAGCTGGGATTGCTAGGGTGTAGACAGGCATCACCAGCCCTCACTAATCCTATTTTTAATACAATATCCCTCCCTCAATTCTGTCTGCGTCTCCCAGCCTGTTTCCAGAAGAACCGCCTCGTTTATCACCTGGATGGGCATAGGGTAGATTTTCACCAGTCCTTATTTTGGCTCCCTCCTAATACTAACAGCGCTCTTCGCAGTTACCTTCTGATATCGGAGTGGGGGTGACTTTGCCAAGAGACCTGGTATGGTAGGAAAACGAATGCCCTCCCCCAAAAGCCACATCCTGATCCCCAAAACCTGTAAACAAGTGGCTCAGGTAGCAAAACAGGCTTTGCAAATGTGATTTGAATTAAGAATCTTGAGTAGATGAGCATATCCTGGGTGTCCAGGTGGGCCACATATATTCACAAGGGCCCTTTTTATAAGGGAGACAGAGCGTCAGGAAGGAGGCCCGAGGACCGGACGGAGTTGGAAGTCTCCGTGACAGGGAGTCAGTGGCCAAGGGATTCAGGCAGCTTTCATTCTCCAGACTCTGAAAGGAGCTCACCCCAGCCGGTCAGCCCTGCACATCTGACGTCCAGAACTGTAAGACAATACATCTTTGGGTGGGTGTTTGTTTTACAGTGCTGGGGCTTGAACCCAGGGCCTTCCTACTGAGCTGCATCCCCAAGCTCCCCAGTCCCCTTTTTTTTTGAAACAGGGTCTCGCTAAGTTGCTGAATTGCCTAGACTTTTCCATCTTCCTGCCTCAGCCTTCCATGTGCTGGGATTAGAGCTGCATGCCACCATGCCCAGCTTTGTGTTGTCTTATGAGCTTAGGAAATTGATATGCCAGGTGGACTAGCTAAAACGAACTGTACGGTCTGGGGATTCTCAGCCTCAATGCTTTGTATCAGTGCTTCTCAACTCCCCTAAGAGTTTTTAAAACTTATTGCTACTTGAGTACCACAGTAGACTAGTTAAAATGAGGATTTCTGTCAGCGGGAACAGATAGCAGTATTTTTGAAAAGGATTTTGTGTTTGTTTCTTGAGACAGGTCTTCCTATGGTAAGTTGCCCAGGTTGGTCTCAAACTCCTAAGCTCAAGTGATCCTCCAACCTCAACCTCCATAGTAGCTGGGACTGCGGGTGTGCATGCCTTTGCCTCACTCCTCAGGTGATTCTACTGTGCAGCCTGGTCTGAATACCTCTGTTCAAAGTGTAAAGATAGGATTTACCTGAGCCAGTAGCTTTATGAACTTGATCAGTTGCAGAGGGCTGGTTGTAACTCAAGTTAGTTATAAGTCAATTCAGCTGAGATCTGGATATTTATCTGGGTACACACTATAGAAAACAAGAGGCAGATGAATCTTCCATTAAGCTAATTAATCCAAGTTGTTGGTTTGTCAGGCCGGTCGTAACTTGAGGGTCCTCTGTATCTCAAGGGGCAGTTCCTGGTCTATTGACATCACCTCAGATAATGGAAATTCAAAATTTTCAGCACCCTAGACTAATGAATGAAGAAGTTTGGGGATAGGGCCAAAAACAGCCTCTGCTAACAATACACACACAAAACATTGACATTCTAACACACATAAGTTGGAGAACAACTGATCTAACCAAAGAAACTCCTTATTGTCCTTAGCTCTTGATTAACACAATCCTGGGTATATGAGGGGTTCGGTGTGACATTTCCATAAGCACACTGATGAAGCCCAGCCCCCTTCATCCACACCCCACACCTTCCCAGCCCTGGAAATCACCATTATGCCTTCAGGTTGACTCTTCTTTTACGTATGAGGAAGAACACACAGCATTACCTGTGTGTGTGTGTGTGTGTGTGTGTGTGGCAGGCTTATTTCATGTAACATAAAATCCCCAGCCCCACCCATTTTGCAGTATATAATAGTGATTTTATTTTTCTTTATGGACTGTGTATATATAGCCGATTTCTTTATCCATTCATCTGACGGGCACCTAGGCTGGTTCCATATCATAGCTGCCGTGAATATGGACCAGCAAATGTCTGGTGTGCGGATTTCATTTCCTTCAGATGTACACACCCAGAGGCCAGACAGCTAGGTCACATGGTGGCTCCAGCTTTAGTGTATTGTGGAACTTCCATACTGTTCTTCATAGTGGCAACACTGGTTTAATTTCCACCAACAGCAAACAACAGTGTCTTTTCTCCACAACCGTGCTAGCATTTGGTTTTATGTTTGGGGATTTTTGGTTTTGTTTCTTTGTAGTAATGTCATTTGAACTAGAGTGAGACAGTATCTTGTAGTTTCAATTTGCATTCCCCAAAGGTTAATGATAATCATGTTTTTCATAGATTTGTTGGTTATATATATATATGTTTTGGGGTGGGTTTTTTTGGTACCAGGGATCGAACTCAGGTCCTTGCGCTTTCGAGGCAGGTGGTAGAACCACTGAGCTAAATCCCCGGCCCATTTATTTATATTTTTGAGGAATGTGATTACTTTTTTTTTGAGGTCCTTATGTGTAATAGATATTAATCATCTGTCAGCTGAATAGTTGGCAAATGTTTTTTCTCATTCTGTAGATTGTCTCTTCACTCTGTTGCTTTCTTTTGCAGTTTTTTTTTTTTTTTTTGGTACTGGGGATCAAACTCAGGACCTTTCACTTGTGAGGCAGGGGGCAGAATCACTGAGCTAAATCACCTGCTCCTTTTCAGCTTTTTAATTTTTTATAATCCTATTTGTCAATTTTTGCTTTTGTTTTCTGTGCTTTTGGGGTCCTATCCAGAAAATCATTGCTTGTACCTGTTTTGAAGTGTTCCTCCCAGGTTTTCTTTTACTAATTTCAGAATTCCAGGTCTTACAATTAGGTCTTTTATCCATTTTGAGTTGATTCTTGTATAAGATGAGAGATAGCAGTAAAGTTGCAATCTGCAAGTTAGCATGCACTTTTCCCAGCACCATGTATTGAATAGGTGTCTTTTTTTTTAAAGCATGATTTTAATATTTATTTAAAATATCAGTGTCCTTTTTCCACTAAGTACTCCTGGTGCCTTTGTCAAGAATCAGTTGGCTGCAGCTGGGTGTAGTGCAGCAGGCCTGTAATCCTAGGAGGCTGAGGCAGGAAGATTGCCATGAGTTCAAGGCCAGCCTGAACTGCATAGTGAGACCCTGTCTAGGAAAGAAAAAATATATACATATATGTATGTGTGTGTGTGTGGCATAGATACATAGGTTTTCTTTCCAGCTCGGGGTTGTGTTGCACCGGCCTATGAGTCTGTGTATTCTGCTGTTTAACCGGTTGCTATGGTTCTGTGGTATGTCTTGGAATCGGGTATTGTGATGTCTCCAGCTTTGTTTTGTTCAAAATTGCTTTGGCTCTTTGAGGTCTTCTATGCTTCCATATGAAATTCAGGATTGTTTTTTCTAGTTCTGTAAAGCATGTAATTGGTATTTTAATGGGGATTGCATTGATTTGGGTAGTATGGACATTTTAACAATATTAACTCTACCAATCCATGAATATTGGAAGCTTTTCCACTTTTGTGAATGTTCTTCAATTTCTTTCATCAGTGTTTTATAACTCCCACTGTAGGAGTCTTTCCCTTCCTTACTTCCTTGGTTAACTTTATTCCTAGGTTTTTTTCTTTGTAGCTATTACAAATGATCCTGGATCGCTTTTATGATTACTTTCTCAGAAATTTCATCATTGTATGGAAAAGTTACTGGTTTTTGTGTTGATTTTTGTAGCCTCCTCCTTTACTGAATTTATCAGTTCTAATAGTCTTTTGGTAGGGTCTCTAGGTTTTTCTAGTACTACATTAGGAACAGTGGGTATGGATGTCATTATCTTGCTCCTGATTGAAAGGAAATGCTTTCAGCTCCTCTGCACTCAGTTTGATGTTGGCTGTGGGTCTGGTATACATACCCTTTCTCAGAGTGAGTTCTGAGTGGTGCACTGGAATCCCAGCACTCTGACAGGCTAAGGCGGGAGGACAGCAAGCTCAAGCCCAGTGGGGAAATTTGGCAACTTAACAAGATCTTGTCTCAAAAATATTTTTTAAAAGGGCTGAGGATATAGCTCAGTGCTATAGGCTCAATCCTAGGTTCAATCCCCAGTATGACCACCCCAAAAAAAAATCGTGTATACTTCATTTGTTCAGGGCTTTTATCATGCAGGGATGTACAATTCTATCACTTGTTTTTACTGCATTCCATTGATGTGATATATTTTTATTGATTTGCATGTCAAACCATCCTTGCATTGCTGGAATAAAACCAAGTCAACAGTGGTGTCGGGGGGTGGGGGGTGGTACTATGGTTTGAACTCAGGGGTGCTCTACTGCTGAGCTATACCCTCAGCCTTTAATTTTTTTAAATGTGGGGGTATTTTGTTAGTACACGTTTGCAGTACATAATGATTACATTCATCATGGGGTGCAGGTGCATGTACAGCTTGTCTTATTTTCCCTTTCCCCTTTCCACACCCTCCTATCTTGTGGTCTCGTTGTAATTTGAGAAAGATCTACCTTTCTGCTTCCTATTATCTTTTATTTTGCTCTTTAATTTATTTATATTTTGTGTTTCTCATATAAGACAAACCATGAAATAGTTAAGCTTGTGTGTCTGATTAATTTTACTTAACTATGGTCTCAAGGTGGATCCACTTCCCTACAAATGGCTCAAGTTTATTCTTTATGGCAGAGTAGTACTCCATTGTATATAAATACCACATTTTCTTTATCCTTTCATCTGTTGATGGACATTTGAGCTGTTTCCAAGATTTAGCTGTTACAAACTGTGCCACTATAAACATTTGTGTGCATATATCACTGTGGTATGATGCTTTTAACTCTTTTGGGAAGTTACCTAGAAGGGGAATAGCTGGGTCAAATAGAACCTCTAGTTTTAGTATTTTGAAAAATCTCCATACTGACTTCCATAGTGATTGTACCAGTTTACACTCCCACCAGCAATGGAATAGGGTTCCTTTTTCCCCACAACCTTGCCAGCATTTGTTATTGGTTGATTTCTTTTTTTTAATTCATTAAGTTTTTGGTACATTTTAGGTTTACAATACGATGGCATTCATCATTGGGAATTTGTACATGATATATCTTGGTATGGTTGATTTCTTGATAGCTATTCTTTCTGGAATGAGATGAAATCTCAGTGTTGTTTTAATTTGCATTTCTCAAATGACCAGTCATGTTGAACATTTTTCATATATTTATTTGCTGTTTGCACTTCTTCATCTGAGAAATGTCTGTTCATTTCAGATGCCCATTTTTGTAATTTTTCTTTTTTCTTTTTCTTTTTTTGGTACCAGGGATCAAATTCAGATCCTTGCACTTGAGAGGCAGGCGGTGGAACCACTGAGCTAAATCCCCAGCCCTGGATGCCCATTTTTGACTGGCTCTTTAGATTTGAGGGGGTCTGATTTTCTTTTTTTTGAGCTCTCTATATATTCTAAATGTTAGTCCTTTGAGGAGTAGCAGGTTAAAAAAATTTTCCCATTCTGTGGGTTATCTCTTCACTCTGTGGTTTCTTTTGCTGTGCAAAAGCTTTTTAATTTGATGAGAGTTGTTGATTCTTTGTAATATTTCCTGAATGAGCCGGGTTTTCCTAGTCTTTGCCTACACCTATC